ACTTAGTTTTGATCATAGAATCGGCCTGTTCAGGGTTGGCAGCTAATTATGAGACACCCTGTATCTTTTTAACATAACCTGGTTTACTTTCCGAATGACAAGATCAATGATCCTACTGATCGGATTATTGTGATCACAATTTCCGAAAAGCCTTAATAATTACACAAGTGACACACGGGTACCATGCGAAACGCGGAAGACAGTGCACCCAGTTAACCAAATTAATATGTCAGCTGAACGGCATTTCACTCTGGGGATTGTGGCATTAGTATATGTAGTCGCATACCCGCTGTAGAATTGGATCCCATATGGTTTGAAAAGGCCTTATAGTCTTATTTTAATCCCAAAAATCTATGGTACTTTCATATTATAATGGAATCTAAATTTGGCACAATAAGCAACTATAAACAATGTTTCGTGTTTTGATATTTGTGTCTATTACAGTTTATGAACGCATAAGAAAATTGGTTGTAACATCTGCAGAATTTAATTTTCAATTAAATTAAACCAAATTGCTATTTCTAAACAGTATGTTCTGAAGGAAACTTGGTCCCTGACATTGGTTTTGAAAGAAGTGCATTTTAACATCAACCATGATTTCGTAATATTTACCACTCACTCAGAAGAATTTCCGCCCCAGAAATTTCAAATGAGTAGTGTCAAGCGACATAAAAGAAACTTTCATCCTCTTACCATACTTGTTTTATTAAAAATTTTACCAGCAGTTTTCATGAAATTATCAATTGTTTGTGAATATAATATACATTATCCCTTTTCTTTAAATTAATGTATGGCCTCCATTATCCTTTCTTCCACAGTTCATAGTATTTTGAAAACTGTTCTAGCACTCGTTACGAGCAAATGAACGAATTAAATGTCATTCACGTTGATGGATATCTGATCTCATTGAACATTGTTATTATTTGAACAACAATTAAAGCTTCTTTCATCCCACTTTAAAAAAATTCAATTCAATACAAAAATTAATTTAAATCTCGCCCTATACGAAATTCTGAAGTTTTCGTGGAAAGAAACTAGGTATACTTAGTTGCAAATTATAATTAAAATAAGCTAAAAAGTAAGAATTACATTAATTATTTATTAATTATAATCCTCAATTAATTAATAATCAACTACAATTTATACAACAAAGAATTCTACAATCTAGGCGATAGTTCTAAGAGACGGGTGTCACGAACTGTACAAGGGCAAATCTGCGGCAGCTTAACTTATCTTGATGTAAAACTCAAGCATTATGCTGACATGTTCATACCTACACCTCGATAAGCCCACTTCAAAATTGCATGAAAATAAAAAATAATAATTTCAATAGTGTATAACGATAGAAAGATCCGTTATTACGTTGCTGCAAAATGTCCAACCGCATAATATGTAAAATTTGAAAATGGTTTTGATAATTTAATATTGTATTATCAAAAGTACTAATTTGTATGAATTTGTATGTATATTTGTATGTTCATGTAAATTACTTTTAGTTGTTTTAATTGCGAATCTGTGTCTATAATGGATTAATAACACATATTATTGATTTATTGCTTGAACAAAATAATATTGTGACAGTATTTTAGGTACTACTAATATATCTAGTTTTTGGTTGTTCAGAACATTTTAAATATGGCTGAATAATGTTTAATAATTTCTACCTTTAGTTCCTTTCTTACAAGTAATTATTTTAACTACTACTAGTTAAACTAGATATTATTGTTGGATGATCTTAAAATATTGTTTATATATTATTCTCTATATGTGTTACAGTATATTTTCATTTTTTATTTTTGTAAAACCTGTCTCGAAAATAAAGCGTTTTCAGATAATCATTTCTGAGAATTTTTATTGTTAATTTTTTAAGTATAATACAGTCCCTACGATATTTGTTGAGATAAAATTCCAGGAAGACCCCTGCGTCACTTTGTTGGAATTAACTGCATTCGACACCCGAGATAGAAAAGCATTGGCTGCGTAACGTGTACCATAGCAGCTTGTTACATCTTTGTTTATTCCTATTTTTGTACCAGCGTGTTTACAATTGTCTTATCTTGTAGTTTATTTATGATTTGTATTCTTCTGTACTGTAAAAGAAATAAAAACACATTTTAATCCAAAAAATCTATTTTAATATTCTGAAAATAACTCGGAAAATTTTAAGGCACGCCCCGCCGTAAATTGTTACAGTATTTCTGATAACAGAATTTTATTGTCTTATTCTTTTCTTGAAAATCTATCTCAACAAATGTTGTACGGACTGTACGTTATTTAGGTTTTATCAAATATTGTTACATCTTGCATATCACAACCGTTTGGTCATATACAAGGTATTAAAAAATATAGAGACGCTGATGATAGATACTAGTCGAAATAAGAAAAGAAGTTCCTATGAACATATCCATTAATAGGGAATTACAGTTCTTTAAACGGTAAATTAAAAAGTTGACTTTATTTCAATGAAATTTGTCTTTGATCATAATTTGTTTATTTTCTTTTTCCAAAGTCCATATGAAAATTCGTAAAGTTTGAAAAATGATAAAGAAAAAAAATACTTTGTTTTAAATTGATAAGCACAATAAAAATAATTAAGGCGCTTGTGAAAGTTAATTTATTTAATTTTCTATTATAAATTCCTATTGACATTATTAAAATGTATGATGACGATTAGTTCAGATATCGAATATGGTGGCATATTATTGCTAAGCACCATTCAGTTCAGAAATTGGGAAAATCTGGAAAAGTTCGTTAATTTTTCAAACTCCGACTTCATCTTACCCTCTATGAGTATATTTGCCCGACCGAGGGGTTCGAACCCGCGGTCTCACCAACAACGGTTCAAAATCTGAAGCTTTAACCTACTAACCTACCGGCCGATTATGTAATGCAGGATTGTGGGAAATTAATATGGGGAACCAAATTTTAACGAAATACTCTTAATGCAGTTTTTTAAATAAATTTGATATATTGTAATGATGGTAACTCATGGTAATTTCATTTCCAAGTTTAAACTGATATTCAATGTGCCTTGATTATACAGCAGCAGACAAAATTATCCATTTAAATTTAAACATCTTTGACAGCGCTGCCAAATTTGGTATTTTTCTTTCATAGCTCGATTCCTCTCTCAATTTGCTAAAAAAAAGTTATACCATATATCAAACTATATATGTTGTACCGTTTTTGAGAAAATAGAATTTTATTAACAACATACATGTATTCTATAAAAAATGCGATATTAACATTTTTGCAAAAATCTTGGAAATTGAGATGATTGTTAACAAGTATGTATAATTAGCAGTTAGATATTTGTCATAAATCATTTTGACGCCATTTGTTGATTCAATATCGCCACGGTAGCGCAGTCGGTCGAGAGTGCGGTGGCAAGCATTTCTCGGCTAGGCTTCCTACTCTGGTCCGGGTTCGATCCCCGGTGTCGGCACTGGCAATGTCGATGGATTATGGGTGTTTGTCCGCGTTTTTTCAAGTGTAGCTCCCTTCCGCACAAGCCTTTGGCTTTTGGATTTGGGAGTTGTCTCATTTCTGTGGTGTGTTTTATGTTTTTAGATTCATGTAGGATTTTAACTATGAAGAATTTGTAGATATTCATCTAATATACCTACGAACCTGCAGAATGTAATGCGTCTGAAGCTGTTCGAATTTACGCCAACCGCTTTCCAAATAGAATAAAATTTGCATATTTAAAGTGACGAAAACCCCCATGCTGTTAGTCCGACAAAACACTAACAAAAATTTATCATGAATGTGAATAATTGCAAACTACTTAGTGGGACCACATGTTATTTATGACGCTTTAAATGGGAATAAATACCTACATTTACTGCAAGAACACCTTAATTTTTGGCTTTGGGGGCCATCTTAAAAGTCTTGTTTATCAAATTCCTATAAATTATTAAAAAATAATTATTAAATCGCATCATCATTAGAAATGATCACCACATGTTATTTTGAGTACAGCAGAGGTGCTTGAGCAATTTCAGAAAATGCATTGAAGTTCAAGGTTATAGTTCAAGTATTGAACATCATACTTAACAGTTCTTTTTTCTTTTAAATTTATAGAAACCAAAATTTTTACAAAAATGTTGGTATCACATACATCAGTACAATAAATGTATGTTGTTAATAAAATTCGATTTTCTCAAAAACGGTACAAGATATCGACTGATGTACGGTATACCTTTTTTTAACAAAGTGAGAGGGGAATCGAACTATGAAAAAAATGTTAAATTTGGCAACACTGTCAGAGATATATAAATTTAAATGCATTATTTTGTCTGCTCCTGTATAATTTAGGTATATTGAATATCAATTTAAACTTGGAAATGAACATCACCATGAGTTACTTTAATTGCCCAAATTTCATTGTGGTCATGGTAACGACTTAGAAGTTACAATTGGAATTTGTTTTTCAAACTTCTTTCTTTGAAGGCGAATAACTCCACAACGAAGCCCGATAGGAAAAAAATTCGTATGAAGTACTACAACTATTTTGAACTCCTCTGTACACCCTTTCATTTTTGACATGACCTTTCCGGACACCCTGTATATTTCAGCACCATCGAATGTTACAGAAGATAGATATGTGAACATAATTTCATTAATAATTTGTTATCAGCTGTGGTGATATAAGTATCAACTTTCTAAATTACCTTTAATGAATTTTCTTTCTTATCTTGATTAATACCATCACTTGAAGTTTTTTCATCTTAATTTACGTCCAGTAATTTGAAAATTTAAAAGCAATAATAATATTAGTATCAGTATCAATGTAGGTAATTGCTATCACAATTTTATTAATTTTGTTTTTCTATCATTATTGTTAAAATTGATATTTCCTTTTATATCTGCTTCAGATATGATGTTCTACTTGCACTCTTATACATATATTTAAAGCACATATTCCAATACTTAGTATGTAGGAATTTAACAGCACATAATTTCACACTCCACGTAATAAGAATATAAAAGTAACTAACCACCACATTCATCGTGCTACTGAACTAGGTATACGCACTCTCGTTCACAGTACTCTAAAAGAACTGGAGGAATTTGCAGCCATTTACAATATTTTGTTACTAACAAATAAGCCCTACTCACAGTTCGTTTCACTCGCCATTCAAGTTCAATGTGAATTCTTGTTTGTCATGATAGTTACTACTTCCTTGTTACGTTAATTATTAATACGATCCTTCATCTTTTCCTATGTAGGCGCCTCTTATTGATGAAATAAAAATAAATAGTTGTTGATAACACATTTCAGGGTTGCACGTATTACTTAAATATTTGGCGAGGGAAAATAACAATAGAAGTAGCTTCGTCATGTAGAGGAAGTAGAGCATATCATAATGGAATATAATTAATGTCATACAATGTGATAATAACAATTTAACAATAGATACACCTGGAAAAATAAAAAACTATGTATTTACAAATATTTCTTTATCAAATACCATCTTTAAACTACGTTGTAATTAGTTAAGGATAATTAAAGGCTGACAAAATTTCATATAGTCTAGAAGATTCAACAAAGTGACAAATGAAGTTTACTGAACTAGATAAGTTAAGGCTTAAGGTATACAGAGTTTCTGTATATGTAAGTGTAAGTAAAAAAATAAACAAAAAAGCTCAGAAAAAATCAGAATTATGCTACAAATAGTTAATTTTAGACTATATGTAACAGTTCTTAGATATACTTTAAAAAATGAATGATGGCTTTAGTAGAATGAAAAAAATTACTTAATTCATATTTAAGAACATAGCACAAACGTAAATTATGAAAACATTTTATATCAAAATGCACAAAATAATTTTTTTCTTCTCAAAAAGAAATATACTCATCATTTATTGTTTATACTTAAGATAAGTGACATCCATCTTTAACAACATAGTAAAGATGTATAATTTACTACCGCTTAAGACATAATTTTCTTAAATTATATGTTATTAAGTGGTAATAATTATTATACCTATCTAAAGTTGTATAAATCATTACACCTTTTCATATCAGTGAAAATAAAAGTAAACTTGTACAACAGCGAGTACGTATGTATTTCTATTTAAACATTTGAGTTAAAATTGAATGTAAATAGATATATCTATAATTGACGATATACAGTGTATTTCCTAAAATTATTCACACCACATGAGTTGTTTCTCTGAATTAAAAAATAATAATAAATGAATATAAAAGGCTTTTCAATTTTCCTGATGTGTCATAATTTTGTATCATATTAGACAAATGACTATTGCATGCAAAACCAACGTAATTTTGCTTTTTTTTAATGGAATGGAATGGAATAATGGAATAATTTTAGTAATACCAATTTTTGTAGAATGATGCTGTCTGCCATATAATTTCGGGAATATTTAATGGAAATACTTCTGCTCCTTGAAAATATTCCTAAAACGGCAACAACAATGCTAAATGTATAGCTCAATAAGACATAAAAGTTGTCCCAAAATTCAGGCAAGAAGTAATTTTAATAGAAAACACAGGATTTTAATTAAAAATTGTACATTTTTTGTTGATTCATAAAGTATACAGTATATGGTTATGTATGGAATATCACGGTGTCGAATTAATTGATGTTCTTGGACTCTCAGCAACACTCTCACGAACTGCTTCGATGTTTTGTGTCGAACGATTTGTTGAAAGACGGCTAGAGTTTAGGAACACTAATGGATCCAGTTTCCCTGAAGTAAATAATTAAATAAATAAATAAATAAAAAGTGAGAACTGTAGCTTCTAAACCTTCATTATTTTTAAAATTTTGCTCAACAATCTGCGTTGTTCTTTCGCGTAGCGGTCCATTTTTAATTTTTTAATTTAACTCTTAATTGTAAGCTGTCACGCTGCCCTTTTTTCCGTTAGTACTACTTTACCGCACAAATGGCACAAATTTCAAATTTTACGTGAATTTTGGAACACCCGATAGTTACATATAATAGTTACAGTCATAATTTGAAATATGTTTACATTTTGGATTTGCCTCAACTGGCTAATATTTAAATCTGCCCCACCACCAATTTTTTCGGTATTTAAATCAGTAAAATTTTAAGAGTCAGTCATAAAAGTTAATAACATTTCTATAAAATAAAACATCATTTACTAGGAGAACACCACATATATATTTTTTGTGTCTAAATGGGTAAATAAATATATTTTTCAGTTAAATCTGTATCTGTCACTTACTTATGCATTTAATTTTTATGAGAAATATTGATGTAGAATTATGGAAAATCGGCAAAAAATTCTATTAAGAGGTAAAATAACACAGCCACACAAAAAAAGAAAAGTTGTCTGTGCTTTTCATGCGACATATGTTATTCGTAGGATTTTTGCCTCCTGATCACGAATCCGGTGTCACAATTGAGCTATCACATCACAGGAATTTCCTAACCTCAAAAAACAGGTCAAAAATACCAAAAATTCAGGAAAAAGTGCTGGGAAAATATAAAAAGAATTTATTCTATGTATATTCAAATGTTCGTTTATATGGTTAAGACCTCACCGAACGTAATTTCGGGGTCACTGATCACGAATCCAAGATCATATTTAAAAACGTTTTTAAAAATCTAATCAATTACCTATGTACTTTTTTACCTGAGATTAGGCAGAAAACCCGTTAATAGATCTTTTATAGAAAAAAGAACAAGATATAGCCGAAAAAAAGAAGTTGTAAATATGATTGGGTACTATAAAGTAAATAAAAATATTACAAACTGCGGCCCCGAAAACCAACGTATACCAAATTTGACGCGAATGTGTTGTTTTTTTAAAATTTGGTCGGCCATATTGGATCCGCCATCTTGAATTTTGTAAAATTGACCTCGGATCTGTGATCAGCGACCCCAAAAACCACCGTACACCAAATTTGGCGCGAATCTGTTGTTTTTTGAAAATTCGTGATATCTGACCTTAACTGACCCGTTTTTTTTGAGGTTAAAAAAAGAACCATCAATTCTGACCGCGGATTCACGTTCGGCGGGTTCTTAACTATATAAGTGAACATTTGGATATAGAAAAAAAAAATGTTTGTATTCTTCCTAGCACTTTTTCGTGAATTTTTGCTATTTTTGACTTGTTTTTTTGAGGTTAGGAAATTCCTGTGCTGTGATAGCTCAATGAATTCTGACACCAGATTTGTGATCAGGAGGCTAAAATACTACAGATAACATATGAAGCATGAAGTACAGACAACTTTTTATTTTTTGTGTGGCTGTGTCAATCACAGAGAACAGAACTTTTCATATATATTCTATAGACTTTTTAATGGTTATCAAGTAATTACATGTAATTTAAATGACTTAGGCTAACTCTAAATAGACATAACTTTCTAACAACATAATTAATCACTACAAGTTTCAATTTCAGTTCAATTCAATTTCACAAATTTTGTTAGAAATGTAATTAAAAAAATATATATCCGTTTACACAATCTTTTATTTGAAAAAAATCTTCGTTATGGCAATCAATTTGGTGAATTGAACCTATATCCGTTGATGAAGTCGAGACATATTTCTTAACATTAACAATAATATTTAGTTGTTGTGATTAAGCAATTTGTTGTAAGAATTAAATTACATTTCTTAAAAAGATTACTACATGTTGAATAAAGAATACAACTATTAGGTAGTATACCGTATATAATTTTATTATAATATTGAACTAGATTAAATACATTCACTTAATTAAATGAAAAATACGTGCGGAAGTAAATGTATTCATGATTTGAGATACCTGTACTTTTATCTGCATATGCAGACTTATACTTATACGTACAGGGTGTGCAGTTACAGGGGGTTGAAGCAGTCGTACATGTTGGTTGGAAACAGACCTTTAAAATTAAATCTAACTAAGATTACTGTTACGTTACTTGGAATTCCAAAACAATGTGCTGGAAAAAGAAACTGAGAATTTAATTTTACCTGATTCTACTATACAGTATGGTACAAATAAAAGTAATAAATTCACTACTTGGTAAATAGGTGACTTTAGACAAAAATTCTGAAACAGATCAAGTTGTATGTTTAAAAGTGCGTTCTGCGAGATATTTGTTTTACTTATCATCATCTGTGTGACAGTAATGATAGTAGCAATTCTCTATTCTACCATATCAATAAGTTTAAGTAACAGAATTTTGTAGTGTCAAAGAAGAAAATTTAAAACTCCAACAAAGAATATATTTTTTAACAAACTAAGTTACAATACTCGTAGATTTTCAATTCACTCTCAGATATAATCTAGTTAGCAGTAAATTCTTCTATAACTACAGAAGTTATTTGTGCCATCTCCGTCCGTCCGCGTTATTTTAATGCATTTAGATTTTGTGGTCTATTTTGGTATACTTTACTTTTTAGTATTCCCAGAAAAAGAAATCTAGAAGAATTAAATCTAGAGACTAGGTGGCCTCTTCCACCTATCTCGAAAGACTTTATCCAGGTAGTTTCTTACCAACACAGGATAGTGTGGGAGTGCACCATCTTGCTGAAACCACAAATTAATATCCAGGACCTGTTAAGGTTCCTATTATCTATTATCCATTATTCTAGCTCAAATATTCACTTTCTATGGGCACTGAGTGTTACATTCATGCATCCAATGTGGATTTTCAGTTGCCCAATATCGACAAGTTTGATGGTTTACACGATCATTCAGGAGCAATGTAGATCCATCAGAAAAAATGAGTCTTTTTAGAAACATCGGAATTCAACTCCTGAACTAAGGTGTCTTTGTAAGTATGCCGCTATTCCTTTTTAGCATTCCAAGAGCTGTTCTATGTTCCATATCATTACCTAATGCTACTTGCCATGAATTGGTTTTCTTGAAATTCTAGTACAACATTTAGCTTCTTATTTTTTGGTATTTGTTTTCTACTACATTCAGGGAGGTCCTCTACATGACCCGTTTCTTTATACATATTGCGGTTTGAGAAATTGGTTCACAAACTTCTCTCCGAGTCCTGGTTTTGTCGCCACAACCAATAATTTTTTAGAATTTCAATTTCATATTGATAAAAAACAC